TTAGCTCCAGTAGTTTTCTTGTGTAATCTTTTGGGGTTCTCTATGTATAGAATCATATCATCTGCAAATGTGGATAGTTTTTCTTCTTCCTTTCCAGTTTGGATGCCCTTTATTTCTTTCTCTTACTGATCTTACTGCTCTAGCTAGGACTTCCAGCACAATGTTAAATAGGAGTGGTGATAAAAGGCATCCTTGTCTTGTTCCTGTTCTCAGTGGGAATGCTTTCAGCTTCTCTCCATTGAGAATGATGTTGGCTATTGGATTTGTATAGATGCTTTTTATTATATTGAGGAATTTCCCTTCTATTCCTATTTTATTGAGAGTTTTTATCAGGAATGGGCATTGGTCTTTGTCAAGTGCCTTTTTTGCACTGATTGAGATGATCATGTGATTTTCTTTTCTTTGTTCTATTTAAGTGGTGGATTATGTTGATGGGTTTTCTAATGTTGAACCATCCTTGCATTCCTGGTATGAATCCCACTTGGTTGTGATATATATATATATTTGATATGATGCTGAATTCTATTGGTTAGAATATGGTTGAGAATTTTTGCATCTATATATCATGAAGAAACCATGGTGGCGTAGCGGTTAAGAGCTACGGCTGCTAACCAAAAGGTCAGTAGTTCAAATCCACCAGGCTCTCCTTGGAAACTCTATGGGGCAGTTCTGTGCTGGCTTCATAGAATGAATTCGGGAATATTCCTTCCTTTTCTATGCTGTGAAATAGTTTGAATAGTACTGGTGTGAGCTCTTCTCTGAATGTTTGGTAGAATTCTCCACTGAAGCCATCCTGCCAGGGCTTTTTTTTTGTTGTTGGGAGTTTTTTAAAATTACCTGTTCAATTTCTTCTCTTGTAATGGGTCTGTTCAGATTTTCTATCTCCACTTGTGCTAGTTTAGGTAGGTGGTATGTTTCTAGAAATTTGTCTATTTCCTTTAGGTTCTCAAATTTTTCATAGTATTCTGTTACGATCCTTTTTATTTCAGTTGGGTCTGTTGTAGTGTCCCCCATCTCATTTCTTATTTGGTTTATTTACATCTCCTGTTTTTCTTTTGTCAGTTTGGCCAATGGTTTGTTGATTTTGTTGATCTTTTCAAAGATTCAACTTTTGGTCTTGTTGATTCTATTGTTTTCCTGTTCTCTATTTCATTTATTTCTGCTCTAATCTTTATTATTTCCTTTCTTCTGGTGGCTGTGGGCTTCTTTCGCTGTTCCCTTTGTATTCGTTCGAGTTGTAGCCTAATTTTTTGATTTTGGACCATTCTGCTTTCTTTTATGTGTGCGTTTATTGCTATAAATGGACCTGAGTATTGCCTTTGCTCTGCTGCAAAGGTTTTAGTATGATGTGTTTTCACTGTCATTTAGTCTTAGGAATTTTTTTATTCCTTCGATTTCTTGTATTACCCAGTTGTTTTTAAGCAAGGTGTTATTCAATTTGCATGTTTCTGACTTTTTTTCCTTGCTCTTCCTGTTAATGATTTCTACTTTTATGGTGTTGTGACCAGAAAGTATGTTTTGTATTATTTTGATGTTTTGGATTTTATTGAGGGTTGCTCTGTGGCCTAAAATGTGGTCTATTCTGGAGAATGCCGGTGTGTGTTGGAAAAGAATTTATACTTTGCTGCTGTTGGGTAGAGCGTTCTATATATGTCTATGAGGTTAAGTTGGTTGATTGTGGCCTTTAGAGTTTCTGAATCTTTGTTGCATTTCTTTCTAGATGCTCTGTCCTTTACTGAAAGTGATGTGTTGAAATCTACTAAAATTGTGGAACTATTTCTCTTTTCAGTGCTTGTTAGAGTCTGTTTTATGTATTTTGGAGCCCTGTCATTGGGTGTGTAGATATTTATTAGTTATGTCTTCTTGGTGGACTGTCCCTTTAATCATTATATAATGTCCTTCTTTGTCTTTTATGGTTGATTTTCCTTAAAGTCTATTTTATCTGAGATTAGTACTGCCACTCCCACTCTTTTTTAGTTACTGTTTGCTTATTTTTTCCATCCTTTGACTTTTAATATATTTTTGTTTTTGTATCTAACGTGTGTCTCCTGTAGACAGCATATTGATGGGTCATGCTTTTTTATCCATTCTGCCACTCTCTGTCTCCTAACACATGTATTTAAGCCATTTACATTCAGTGTGATTATTGACAAGTATGAGTTTATTGCTGTCATATTGTACTTTTTTGGGGTGATGAGTTTTTCTTGGTTACTCTTACTTTCTTGTGCTGAGTTCCTTTTGTTTGTGGATTTTCTTTTCTTTTGTAATTATATATTTTCTGTTTACTGAGACTTCATGTTTTTCCTCCTTTTTATTCTGATGAGTAGGTTTGTTAACTTTCTTTGTGGTTACCTTGAAATTTACCCTTATCTTCCTAAGTTTGAAGCAAGCATTTATTACTTAGTATTGCTTTGACTTCATCCGCTTCTGAAAGTTTTATACCTGCACCGTTTATTCCCCCTTTCATTGTTTTTGATGTTGTCATCATTTACAGATTGACATCTGTTTCCCTGTTTTCAGTCTTTTAGCTTTGTTTTATTCTTTAGACTTCTTTACCTAGGTTGGTATCTGGCTGAGGCTGTCCTGTGTCCTAGACTCTGGTTGTTGTCTGATGTTGTTGGTTCTTTAACTGAAGGGCTCCTTTTAATTTTTCTTGTAAGTTTGGTTTTGTTTTTACATATTCCCTTAATTTCCATTTATCTGGAAATTCCCTAATTTTGCCATTGTTTTTGAGAGAGAGTTTTGTAGGATACATTATTCCTGTTTGGCAGTTTTTTTCTGTCAAGATTTTATACATGTTATCCCATTGTCTTCTTGCCTGCATAGTTTCTGCGAAGTAATCAGAGTTTATTCTTATTGTTTCCCCTTTGTAAGTGACTTTATTTTTCACAAGCTGATTTCAGGAGTCTTTTACTGTTTTTGGTTTCAGCAAGTATGATTTTGATATGTCTTGAAATAAAAAATGTCATGGTGGAAGTCAGCGAGTAGGGGTAGGGGAAGCCTGGGGTGGCGGCAGGACAATGGCTCTCAACTCATGGTGGTGTGGTATGGCCTGGCAGGAAGTGGTAGAGGTGGTGTATGGGGCTAGATGGGAGGGAGAAGGTAAAGGAAGAAAGGGGAAAAAGAAAAAAAATGGTGCAGAGGGAGCTGGTCTATGGAGGCAGGGCGGACCCAGGGTGGCGGTGGGCTGGTGGCTCTCTTATCATGGCCACGTGGTGTGGCCCCATGGGAAGGGGTAGAAGTAGCATACAGGGCTAGGTGAGAGGGAGAAAGAAAAGGAGGAAAGGGAAGAAAAATAGTGTGGCAGGAGCTGGTGGGTTGGGACGGGGCAGACCCAGGGTGATGGCAGGCTGGCAGCTCTCTAGCCAAGCGGTGTAGCGTGGCCTGTCAGGAAGGGGTAGGGTGGCGTATGAGGCTAGATGAGAGGGAGAAAGAAAAAGAAAGAAAAGGGGAAAAAAATGGCACGGCAGGAGCTGGCGAGTGAGGGCAGGGCAGACCCAGGCTGGCGGTGGGCTGGTAACTCTTTAGCCAAGTGGTGCTGCGTGGCCTGCTGTGAAGGGGTGGGGGTGGCATATGAGGCAGAAGCGTGAGGGGTAGTAAACCATGTTTCTCTGGTTACTGGGTGCTGTCTCCTGTTGGGAGCTCCATGAAGTTGCCTCCCTTTACTCCCTATTCAGGGTCATTGCTGGCTGTACCCCAAATTGGTAATGCTATGCTGTGTAAGTTGGCAGGGGACCTGCACTTAGTATTTCTCCTCATTCTGTTTTCCTTCAGTTTCTTCTTCCATTTGGTGTTTGATCTAGTTTTTTATCCCTTCATTTGATACTTAGGATTCCAGGACTGATGTTTTTACCTGATTTACTTAGTTTTTTGGGTCTTTGCTCCAGAGGGATGGCATGATGTGTCTGTCTAGGGCACCATGTTGGCTCTGCCTCTGGGAGTTCTATATTGTAAGTCAGCTGTCTTCCGCTGCTTGTAGTAGTTCTGTCTTATCTGTTCTGCTTGTTCAGTTTAGCTTCTACCTTTTAAGTTTTGAGGTTCCCTTATATGTCCTGAAATTTTTCTTTGCCTATTCATAAATGTGGGGTCCCTCAGCAACCAAACAGGTCCAACCTTAGGGTCTCTAGGGGAGAGACAAACCTGCAGACAATGTAAAACATGGCAGTCTTTGTTCTATGGGTCCTCTGTGCTGAAGTGTGCCATAGAGGCCTCTCTGTTCTAAGACTTCTCAAGTTGCCAAGTGAGTGAATGGTAGTCTTCTCCCTACTGCAAAGAATGGGTCTGATCCAGCTTACAAATGATGAACCTTTAATTACTTAAAAATGACATAAATAACCTGCAATGTCTGGCATTTATTATTGTTAATCAATGAATAGTTATATCACAACTGCCCAGGACACACCAGTGTGTAGCAACGCCATGGATGATAATTGCTAAATTAGGCCTCCCTTGTTTCTCATCTGAATGACTCCAACTTCCTTCAGTCCATTTTCAGATTGCCATCATTTATTTAAAAAGTAAACGCGATTGTGTTACTGGCCTGACTAATACCTTTGACTACAAGTTGAAATTCAAACTCTTTCTTTATCTTGGCATACAAAAGTCTTCACAATATTGCCCAACCGTCATCTATATATTCTGTGACTAGATCTTATATAAATACTCCAGTTATACTACACTGAATTTGTCTCCTGAGTTCTCAAAGTGTAACGAACATGATTTACTCATGTTATATCCCCAATATACATCACAGTGTCTACCACATAACTGATGCTCAATAAAATTTGCTGCATATCTAAAAATATAAATGTTTGAAACTGCAAATCAGCCATATTTACTGTTTGTTTTCTAAATTAATGAGATTTTATTTAAAATACTGAAATATACATTTTCAATCACTTACCTTTTAAGATACTCAGAAATTCAAATTTCAAGAGATAGTAAAAAAATTTGAAATATACAGTATACCTCATTTGGTTAAATAGTTATGAATTAAGCACCTGAACTGCTAATGGAGTTTCTTCATCTGGCATCATATAATGGCATAATAAAGATTTGGATCCATCTTTATTAACTGAAGAAGAAGATTTATGCTGCTCAACGAGATTTCTGATTTTTTTTAGTTTTTGCTCCAAGTCCAAAAGGGACAAAGAATGTTTAAGAGAAACACTAGAAACAGAGAAAAGGAAATTGTGATAAATTAAAACTATACAACACATACTATACACACTCTTAACAGGCTAGTATCTGAAATCCTGTTTTGTCCAGTCAAACCTGAAACTGATGACTGAAATCACTAGAAGGATTGAGAAATCAGCCCCCAGTTATAAGCCATTAACAGAGCCAAGAAATCTATAATGCAATATTGCAGATTTCACAAGACAATTCTCACTGTAATTATACAGCAATAATATTACCAGCAGAAACCAGAAGCAGATTTTAAAGTATGTCGTCCATCTCATAACCCAAAGATTTCTGATTTGTTTGGGAATCAATAAGAAATGAAACATTAAAACCTTTTTCTCAGTATCAAATAGTTTATACTGATGAAGAAAAAGAATTCCATGACCCAATACCCCAGGGTGGTGTATGTATTAATCTACAAAGAATTTCACAAACTACCACTTACCAAGTCACTAGCTTCATTAGAACAATGCTAATTTTTCTTTTATTCATTAGAATCAGAAAAGCCAAAGCCAAATGTCTTACCTCCCTAAAATCTTCTGCACAGCTTGTTTAATGACAGTGATCAATTCAGTCAGGCCTATAAATGGAAAACAAACTTCAAAGTCTTGTCCACTTTTTAAATGATAATATAATAATTCAAATCAATAAATTAAATAATACAAATCAATAAATTAAAATTAGTATAAAGGTAACATATAAGAATCTTACCATCTCCAAGGAGGTGCTGAATACTTGATAAATATTGCTGTTGGACTTCTGGGGGAGCAAGAACTGTCTATACAAAAGAGAAATAACATTATATTATCCAAGTTTTTTTTAAAATCAGTAAATGTGTATTATTTTCAGTATAACTGGAACTGATTTGGGACCTGGAATGAAAGCAGAAATAATACACCCACCCCACACTTATCGAGATGGTTAGGTTGCAAAAACCAGGTTGTTACGTGAAAATCGGCATTATGTGAAAATATGGGATCACCATATCAGATCTCAAAATGGAAGATGACTACAACATTACATAACTGCCAAATTACATCATTGCATAACTCCTAAATTACATCATTACATAACTGCTCACTGAGAATTGTGGCCCAACCAAGCTGACACATAACCTTAACCATCACAGCCAGTGTTACTCTTACCTTGCACCTCAGCGAGGTGCTAGATGTATGTCGTTAACGCGCAAAATAGTCAGATAGTAGATTTTTTACAATCATAGTAAATGCAAAATGTCAGATGATGAGATATTCGATAAGTGAGGAGTGGGTACATTCTTTAACATATGAAAAAGTTCAGTTTTAAAATATGAAAAGTAATTACAATGCTATAAGTTCACAATCATCTGAAGTGTAAAGATACTTATTTCATAAAAAATTGTTATCAGGATAAATAACATTCAGTCAAATTTTGAATCTTTTGAAAGAAGGGGCAGTATTTAGTTAATCTATTAAACTTACAGTGCCATTTCTGCCAACTGCAGCATTATCCAGGTAAATGTATCCACCAATAATGTTTAACTGGACTCGCAAAAGAACAACCAGCATACAAGTACTGTATACAGCTACAATGCTTCTTGTGAAACCTTCATGAGAGAAAGAAAACTATTTGGTATTGTTATTAAAACATACAAATGTGTAAAATCACAAACCATCTCTATGGTTATTTTTTCATATGATGACTTTAAAAATGTTTGCAACAGTTTCAAGTACAAAAATGTATCTGTTCACAATATCTCATAATAACTATCATCTTATAACTTGTTTAACAAAAATTAGACATGATTTCTTGTTCAAAACAATAGCCAATCTAAATATACTAGGTGATAGAGTTATATATCATTACCTTCTAAAGGAAAACAAGAAAGGACCGGGAGGCATCAAGAGTTGCAGCCTCAGAACTCTTAGAGCTGTCTAGGGAGTAAGTTTAGAGTGAGAAGAGGAAAGGGCTGAGCATGGAAGAACTGTGGTCTTCATTGGCAGGAAAAGGGAGATGAGCCTGTAAAAGGACCAGAAGAAGGTCCAGAAATATAGGGGGAAACTGGGTGACTAGGCTTCCCAGAAGCCAAGGACAAGGTTTCAACACAGAAGAAAGCGAAACTGTTGATGACTTTTGAGAGGTCTAGCAGGGTAAGGAAAATATACGGATTTAGCAACACAGAGGTTACTCCTGATGCTTGTGAGATCTGCTTGGGTGGAAACATAAAAGTGGAGCAAGGCTGTAATGCATCAAAGAGTGAGTGGGAATGAAGAAGAGAAAAAAGGAAATCTGGCCATAAAGGGTGTGAGAAAGTACAAGTCAAAAGGAAATACAGGGTACTAAACCAAAAACCAAACCTGTTGCCATCAAGTCGATTCCAACTCATAGAGACCCTATAGGACAGAGTAGAACTGTCTCACAGGTTTTCCAAGGCTATAATCCTTATGGAAGCGGACTGTCACATCTTTCTCCCATAGAGCGGCTGGTAGGTTTGAACCACCGACCTTTTGGTTAGCAGCCAAGTGCTTAACCACTGTGGCACCAGGGTTCCAAAAACAAAAACAAAAATAAAAAAACCAAACCCATCGATGTGAAGTCAATTCTGACTCATAGCACCAGGGCTCTAGAGGGATTTAACTTGTTTACAAATAGGCAAGACTTAAGCATCATTCAGTCAATAAGGATGAGTTGAATGAATGGGGAAACAACAATAAATGACAGTATAAGTGAAGTTCTGAGACATAAGCAGATATATATGCCCCAAAGTAATTTTTTGTTTCAAATTTTCATCACTAATGAAACTTTCAAAACAGCAAAGTAGAGTTCTGTCTGAGTTGGAGTAAAAACGTCCTTTAAAGTATTGTCTAGGAAATCTTACATAATCACCATCATAATAATGACACTAACATCTACTGAGTGCTTTCTATGGCCAGATACTGATCTACTTACTTTATGAGAATTATTTTATTTAATCCTCACAATAACTCTATGAGGTAGGTAAAGAAGACTCATTCCCATAAGAGTACAAAAATGTCCCTTTATTAATGCTTTAAAGTTGTATGTTACACAGAATATGTAGGCTTACTTATTATCTTCAGATCCTCCCATATTTCTAGCTTGTTTGAAGGCCTAAAAAAAAAAAAAACAACCAGAAAACATGAAAATAATAACCTAGATAATCTAATAGAAAAATTACAATTTCATAGACTTATGTTCACCTTTTTAAAATTAAAAAATACAAGATCACTGCAGAAAACTTGGAAAACATAACAAAGCCCACGAAATAAAGCAAAATAAAACAGTTGTAATTCTAGTGACCAATGATAGCAATAATTTAGACTGGAATGTGTCTTTCCAGTCTTCCCTACCTCCCCCCAGCCCCAAGCATATGCACACATGTGTTATAAAATCATACAGGAAAAGCAGAAAAAAAACGCTTAGTTCTTTTCTTTTACTTACCAGTTTTACAAATAACAAGGTGGGTCCTAGAATCCTTCAAAAGTAACTAATGAGTTTTTTTTTTTTTGCTTGAAAGTATCTTTAAGAACACATGAATTTAAACACATATTTATTTGATGTGTTTCAACCCATTGCAGTTATTATCTTTACTGATGTTCAAATTGCCCATCTTTGGCCACTGGGGGACTATTCAGGTTAGCTCTGGGAGTTTTTTTGACTCTACCCTATTAGTCTTTGATAGTTTCCTTGCTTTCTCATACGAACAGTTGTTTTGGGTTCATCTTGTTCAGGTCTTGCTGCAGACCTGCGATCACCCATTTCTCCAAGGAGCCCTGGTTCCTTGTAGCCAGAAATGGTAGTTAGAGACTACAACCTTGCAATTAAGGATATTCATTGCTACTGGATAGGATTTTTCAGTGGACAAAGCCAGAGAAATGTATGTTTATGGACTTATTAATTTATTTTTATGTACATACATTCAAAGTGATAAAAATATTGAGTTCCTACTGATACTTTCAATTCAAAATTAGGAGCACAGGGTTTTTTTTTAACTTAATCTCCTTGACCTCACATCTGTATTGCTTTTTGCTCACACTAGAAATCAATGAAACCAACATAATTCCTAAATTGTTTTATCTCTCAATTCATGTACTACAGTCTCAGAATAATAGCAATATGAAATGAGTTTCTGCTTTTTTGTTTTTTCAATTCTGTTTGTCCATAGACTATATATCCTACTATGGATACACAGATAAATTTTTTGTATTTTAAAGTCAGTTGGCAGAGTTTTTGTCTTTGTGGTTATACCACCAACATCTACATTTAAGATAATTTTACTTTCAATTTTATTGCTTTTTAAGCATTTACTGTATTTTTATGCAAACAACATCTATTCTTACTTTTTTGCCAATTGTGCAACTCCCTCATGTGTTGTTTCCCTAAGGTCTTACATGCTTGGGTGCATAATTTACATGGGTGTGTTATCTGCAAAAAAATATAGTATTACAGTTTTATAGTTATGTAATTATTTATATGAATCCAAAGTTAAATTTATACAACACGGTATATTCAAAGAAGTCTACTCCAATTTCCCTTTACTAATTTTCTCCCTTCTGTATGTTGTTGTTGTTACGTGCTGCTGAGTTGCTTCCAACTCATAGCGACCCTAAGTACAACAGAACAAAACAATGCCCAGTCCTGCGCCATCCTCACAATCCTTGCTATGTTTGAGCCCACTGTTGCAGCCACTTTGTCAATCCATCTCATTAAGGGTCTTCCTCTTTCTCACTGACCCTCTACCTTACCAAGCATGCTGTCCTTTTCCAGGGACTGGTGCCTCCTGATAACGTGTCCAAAGTACGTGAGACGAAGTCTTGCCGTCCTTACTTCCAAGAAGCACTCTGGCTGTACTTTTTCCAAGACAGACTTGTTCGTTCTTCTGGCAGTCCATGGTATATTAAATGTTTTTCACCAACCCCATACATAATTCAGAGGCATCAATTCTTTTTCAGTCTTCCTTATTCATTGTCCTGTTTTCGCATGCATATGAGGTGACTGAAAATACCATGGCTTGAGTCAGGCGCACCTTAGTCCTCAAAGTGACATCTTTGCTTTTCAACAGCTTAGAGAGGTCTTTTGCAGCAGGTTTCCCCAATGCAATATATCATTTGATTTTTGTTTTTTTAATTGCACTTTATGTGAAAGTTTACAGCTCAAGTTAATTTCTCATACAAAAATTTATACACATATTGTTATGTGACCCTAGCTGCAACCCATATATTGTGACAGCACACTCGCCCTTTCCACCCTGGGCTTCCTGCATCCATTCAACCTGCTCCTATTCCTTTCTGCCTTCTCGTCTCGCCTCCAGACAGGAGTTGCCCATTTAGTCTCATGTATCTACTTGAACTAAGAAACACACTCTTTATGAGTATTATTTTATGTTTTATAGTCCAGTCTAATCTTTGTCTGAAGAGTTGGCTTTGAGAATGGTTTTAGTTCTGTGTTAACAGAGAGGTCAGGGGCCATGTCTTCTGGGGTTCCTCTAGTCTCACTCTGACCATGAAGTCTGGTCTTTTTCGTGAATTTGAGTTCTTCCCCACACTTTTCTCCTGCTCTGTCAGGGACTGTCTGTTGTGTTCCCTGTCAGGGCAGTCATTGGTGATAGCTGGGCACCAACTATTTCTTCTGGTCTCAGGTTGATGGAGTCTCTGGTTTATGTGGCCCTTTGGACTTTTGGGCTAATATTTTCCTTGTGTCTTTGATGTTCTTCATTCTCCTTTGCTCTAGGTGGGCTGGAACCAACTGATGCATCTTAGATGACTGCTTGCAAGCTTTTAAGACCCCAGATGCCACTCACCAAAGTAGAACCAAATGCAGAACATTTTCTTAATAAACTTTGTTAGGCCTATTAACCTAGATGTCCCCTGAAACCATGGTCCCCAGACCCCTGCCCCTACTACTCTATCCCTCAGAGTGTTTGGTTGTGTTCAGGAAACTTCTTAGCTTTTGGTTTAGTCATTGTTTGATTTCTTGACTGCTGCTTCCATGAGTGTTGACTGTGGATCCAAGTAAAATGAAATCCTTGATAACTTCCATTTTTTCTCCATTTATCACGATGTTGCTTATTGGTCCAGTTGTGAGGATTTTTGTTTTATTTATGTTGAGGTGTAATCCATACTGAAGACTGTAATCTTTGATCTTCATCAGTAAGGGCTTCAAGTCCTCTTTGCTTTCAGCAAGGAAGGTTGTGTTATCTGCAAATCGTAGGTCGTTAATGAGTCTTCCTCCAATCCTGATGCCGTGTTCTTCCTATAGTTCAGCTTCTCGGATTATTTGTTCAGCATACAGATTGAATAAGTATGGTGAAAGGATACAACCCTGACACACACCTTTCCTGACTTAAAACCACTCAGTTTCTCCTTGTTCCGTTCAAGTGACTGCCTCTTGGTCTATGTACAGGTTCCTCATGAGCACAATTAAATGTTCTAAAATTCCCATTCTTCACAATGTTATTCATAATTTGTTATGATCCACAAAATATAGATCTTTCTGTATAGGTGATTATTAGAAAAAATGATGCTTTAACTTTCCATTGTTTTGTTTTACATAAACGAATATGTATGTCCATTCCTATCTGTCCCCCTTAGATAAATGATAGCCTTCTATACACATTTTTCTCTATTTTTAAAAACACATAGCAATATATCCTGGATCATTTCATAGTAGAATATAGACACAGTTATTTATTTATTAAACTGTGGCATAATATATAGTACTCCATTGTGTGGACTGCACGTACTATGTAGATGCAGTTCAGCACTTTTTAAACCATCTACGTAAAATGACCAGACTTTTTTTTTAATTTCAATCTGTCATAAACCAGCATCTTTGTAAAATACAATGAAAATAAATTACTAAAAAAATGAAATAAGAAAACCACAAAGATATACAAAATACGAAACAATACTTTTTATTATTATAATCAGGTGTAATTTTATATACCCACTCCTCACTTATCGACATAGTTAGGTTCCAAAGACCAGGTCATTATGTGAAAATTGGCTTTATATGTAAACAGAGGATGACCACATCAGATCACAAAATGGACGATGACTACATCATTACATAACTGTCAAACCACTGAGAATCATGGCTTAGCCACATTAACACATAACCTTAACCATCATAGCCAGTGTTACTCTTGCCTCGCACCATGGCATTCATTACTGCCAGACATATGTCGTTAATGTACAAAACAGTTAGATAGTAGATTTTTTTACTATTGTTGAAAATATGAAATGTCAAATAATGAGATAATAAGTGAGGAGTAGATGTATTTCAATAAGAAATTGTGTTACCATTACAGTAGTGATATATTATTAGTTTCTTTGCTCCTGAACAGACTCTAGGGCTTCGGTCACCCCTTCCTAGATGGCAGAGGTGCCGATCCTACAAGCAAGATACTGCTTCAAACTGAAGCTGATTATGTTTGATCTTTGTGGTGAAATGCCATATTTACTCTCATTAAACTGGGAATCTATCACAATTCAAGGGTTAGGTATTTTAACGCAAGTAAATTACATCATCTTTTGGATGCCATCTCAGAAAAATTTCCAAGTGTTTCTTAAAGAAATTCTACATGAAACAAGGTAAGAAAATAGTGGCTCCAGAAATTTCAGTAATATGAAGTGCTTAGGAGGAACGATCTGTGAAAGAGCAAATTTATCTTGAAGCTGTGTTTGCTGGAATTGCATTTTATTTGGGGTGACTTTGTGGGAGAGGACAGAGTTATAGCCAGCCAGGACATTTTTTGGTGCTGACACTCACTATTATTAGACCTTAAAATCAGATAAAAAAATATTGACCCTATTATCTTTTTTTTTTTTTTAGCAGAATGTTAAAAAAGTTTTATTTTTTGTTGTTATGAATATACACAGCAGAACATCCTATCATCTTTAAAAAAAAAAATGACTCCAAATCTATATAGAAGAACCGGAAAAGTACTTTCTGTACAAGATTCCTCTCAAATAATTTGTCTAACGGAAATCAACCCTAAGTTAAATACAACCAGACTCTTTAATGTCACTAAAATATCTGTTTAAGAATTAAACTAGTCCTTTTAAAGTGTTCTTCCTCTGTTGTGATGGAGAGTGTTTAAGATTCTTTGTATTGAAATTTCATTGCCATTACCAATCTTTAATAAGAATGCAAATTATTAAAAACAGTGATAGCTGTTTAGTTGCTATTATAAAACTGACAATATAAGACTATCAAATCTTTTAGTTTTGATTAGTTACTATCATGACTAGTTAAAAGAAAAAAATTAACCTTCTTAGTAAACTTATATGAGACCAGAGTTGACTGAAAACTAACATAAAAGCAGTCACAGAGTGAAGGCCTTATTTAGTCACACTTTTGTGGGCTCAAACTCCTCTTTATCCAAGTATTTTTCAAATGAACTTTTTTTTCCTCAAATTGCAAATAGTATTTTCAAATAAAATGAAAAGCAGGAAAAAAATAACACTGAAATACTTAAAGAGGAAACAATGAATGAGGAGAGCTGCTGCACATCTTAAACTCTCTGGAATTTAAGAAATTCTCTCTGTGTATTACATAAGAAAAGCGAAATCACACCTTTTCTTTAAAGCTGTCCAGGATTATCCATCAAAGTTCATCCCTTTCTTTTCTATACTACACATCCTTCCCCCATGTTTTGCTTCTACTTTTGCACAGCACTAAATGTAATTTGGTTTTAATTATGATAATTTATTTTGTCTATTTCCTCCTCTCGATGACAAGATCTTAAAGAGAGAGCGAGAGATCCTGTCTTAATTATCTTGAGTCTCCAAAGCATATGGAACACAGGGCCTTGCAGAAAACAGATTCACCAAGAAGGAAGAATGCCACCATGTTTATTAGGTCTATCATTATGTTCCTTTTATAAAAGTGGCATTCACTTATTTCATTTGTCTTGCCTTTCCAATAAGATCAACACTTAAGAAAATTATAATCTATTTCTTTTCTATTCCCTGTTTAGGCACATACAGGTGGTAGTATTTATCTGACTGAGACCAATCTGCTTATGTTTCTCCTACAGCATCCCTATAATTTATAAATTAAAATGTACATCTACAAGTAGGAGTGAAATGCTGTCAATCTCAAAGCATGAGATCTAGATGAAATTTAGGGGGGAAAACCTTTATCATCAGCATTATATTTTAATCAGACAAAAAAGATACCAAATACACAAATTCATTGTTATTTTGGGAATATTTTCTGAATGCAGACATTTTTTTCAAGAAAATTTTCCACCTTGTTATTTAACCTTTCGGCACTAAGTGCCCAGTTGCAAAATGGTGATGATAACAACTGCCTCACGGGGACATTGTGAAAATCAAATGGAAGCATGTATGTAAAGTACCCAGCACCGGGCCTGGAACAGAGACATTCCAGAAATAGCACTTCTTCCCCTGGCTATCTGGAGGATGATTACAAGGCGAGTGAATATTTCAGTAAGGCCAAAACTAAAAGTTATTTAGTGAAAGCATTCCCCTCCCCCTCATCTTGTTCATTAAACAGCAAGGCCATTTCCTTCTAGAAGTTCGCTTAAATAAACACAGCATCAAACAAATTGTAATACTCCAACACATACTGCACTCCATATATAAGATCATATATGTGAAAGTGCTTTGTAACTCTCATGGTAACATAAGTTATTATTATTGCATACTCATGTTATATTTGATCTTTGTTTTGTACATAATTTAAAATGTGTGTTCATATGCTTTATTTAAAATGCATGTATATGTGACTAATCTATTACAGTAAATTTCTGTAAGCTCTTTAAGAAGTATAATATTTAACATAACTTTGTCAACCTTACAGCATCTGGTTCAGGAACACATCCCATAAGCCCTCAATAACTGAATGTTTCAATAATGTCAAAGTGATATAAGATTTAGTTATTTATATGAAAAGCAGAATGCAAGCAAGTATTGTATCCCTAAATGCTTTCTGCAACAAGGTAGAGAATAAGTAAATGGACAAATAAAATATGGAGTCAGTTAATATTTTTTTCTCACCAAGTCTATTATAACCTTCAACTAGAAAGAAATATAGGGCCACGAAGTCTTTTGGAAAGTATTTCAGTTCATTCTATAAACCTTCAGTGCAGTGGATAAATGAAAATTGTTGTAACATGCATTTACTTGTTTTTTAGCAGAGCTGTGAGGCTCTCAGAATTGAGTTGCTGCATTAAGGCCTCTCTCAGTGTTGGAAGCATGGACAGCACTGTAATAGAAACAGAAAATAAAGACGGTCACAAGGGATATGACTGCCCTCACCGAGAAATAAATGCACATTGTTTTAGGCTATATGGCAGGACTAGCAACTGGTAAGAGAATTCAAATTATTATTAGTCCTATTAATATAAAACTATTATATATTAATAAATTATTTATCTACTTATGTAAAGTGAGAAAAATTATACATACACTATGAACACAGCAATGTAAACAACTACATATAGAAGAAAGAATGGAAAGGTTTATTCCCAAATGTTACCAGTGATGGTCTTTGGACTACGGATTATGGATAATTCCTTTTTTTTAAACCTTCTTTTCTCGGTATTCTACAAAATTATTTACAATAAATGTTTATTTTTTATATAATAAAAATGATCAGAAACAATATTTTTATCTTCAGCTACCCTTTCTGATTCATATTTAATTTCTAATTTTAGAAAAAGTTGATTTCTTAAAAACTACAAAACCACAAGCATTTATTATAATCTAGATAAAAGTACATCAGGCTAGGATTTAGGAGCTGCTGAGTTTTAGTTCTAGTTCTGCTAATGGCTATTGCTTGTCCTTAACTCCCAGGAATAATGTGATATTCAATGCTGCACTCTGTGGTGTCAGCATATTTTCTCAAGTCTTACGTTTAAACTACCTAAGTTATTTAGACCACTATATAAAACAGCAGTTTAGAGCCAATGTCAAGAGGTAGATTAGCTCTTAGTATATATCTAGCCCAAACACAATGTTACCTTTCAAAGAAAAAGCAAGGACTAGAGTCCTGTATTCAGAAAACAGACTTAGTAGGGAACTACTCTGATTATGTGGTATAACAATATGATTTGAGAGGACTCTCTTCCATAATCTCCTGAGAGATAACAGCTTACTTCCCACTTCAGCCTATTCTACTTTTCTCTACTAGCCATCTGTACTAAAACTGAACAAATATGCTCAGTCTCTAGAAATATTGAACAAATATGCTCAGTCTCTAGAAATAGTTGAAGACTGCAGTCATGTCTTCCTTTAGCCATCTGGTATCCATGCTAAACATCCTCAGTTCACCCACAAATCATAGGACGATCCTTCACCAGCCTTGAATTTGTGTGACCTTGAACAGGTTACTTGATCTCTCTCCTCATCTGGAAATCAAGGATAATATAGGATCTAACTCATAGAGCTGTTACAGGATTGACACATAAAAAGCAATTAGAACAGTGCTTCTTTGCACATGGGAAATGCTAAGTGTGAACTATTATTACAATTCTTGGCTTTTTCCGACATACTCTAGTTTGTAAGCATCTTCTTAAAAGGTGATAGCCAGAAATGGACTACTGCAGAATATACTGTAATTACCTTTGATCTGAACCACAGATTATTATAGTTTTAGTCTAAGATAAAATTAGTATATCTAGAAGTCACATCACATTGTTTGTTCATAACAAGTTTACACTCAACTAAAATTCCCAGTCTTTAGTCATACACCTTGTTTCAAGCAAACTTGGATAATTCTATTTCTGTACAATTGACTTTTAATGAAGAACAATTATTTTATCTCAGACTAGAATTTTAATAGGACAAGACTATTTTGCATTCTGAAACCTCATTTGTGGGGTCAGCTATGTGTCCAAGCATTGTGTCATCTGTAAATCTAATAAGCACCCTTCCTAAATGTTTAGTAAAATCAGGAAGAAGGTAAGGTCAAAAGGTAACATTCTATTAGATGCTATCTTTCAAGCTGGGGCCAACTTCTTTGGTAAGAAAACTAGTTAAATTTACTAAAAGTACTGAATTTTTCTAGCTTATCCATTACCATCTTATCGAGAGGGTGGCAATTTAACCGTATTATTTGTAACTGCATTACCAATGCAGACCAGAAAGCTAATTTGGAAATTTTTCAGTGAACCTGTATTTTGGCTTCTAGTGACACCAAATTCTTTTTTTAAAATTGTCTGTTAATTGGTGTCTTAGTTATCTAGTGCTGCTAAAACAGAAATACCATAAGTGGATGGCTTTAATGAAGAGAAATATATTCTCTAACAGTCTAGGAGGCTAGAAGTCCAAATTCAGGGCTCTAGGGGAAGGTCCTTGTCATCAATCTTCCCCTGGTCTAGAAGCTTCTCAGCAGAGGGACCCCAGATTCAAAGGATGCACTCCCCTCCTGGTTCTTTATTCTTGGTGGCATGAGGTCCTCCTGATGTTCTGCTTGCTTCTCTCTTTTATATCTCAAAAGAGATTGACTCAAAATGCAACCTAATCGTGTAGATTGAGTCCTGTCTCATTAACGTAACTGCCTCTAATCCTGCCTCATTAACATCACAGAAGTAGGATTTACAATACATATGAAAATCACATCAGATGACAAAATGGTGGACATTCACACAATACTGGGAATCATGACCTAGCCAAGTTGACACACATTTTTTGGGGACACATTTCTATCCATACATTTGGCTATTTATCTGAGGGTTGTGAGAGTCATGGAAATGTGCCATCCAGATCATCTGTTGGGAGAGCATAGTTAATTGACAGCCTCAGCTGCCAGCCCTCCAGATCCATTCCCATATTTGTGCAGCTCCCAGCCAACGACTGTGCTCCATGGGGATACTGGAGCAGGCCCAATCTTGCAGGGCCCCTTTACCAGGGATCTTTGGCTTGCAGACTCCTCACTGGCCTGACAAAATTTCCTGGAACTGTGTGTAGTCTGAGACTCTTCTTACCTAATCTTCCTTCCTGTCTACTTCTCTTTCACAAGTGGCAGACTTGCACGGAAGTCTGAGGTTTTCCCTGCCTACTCCTGCTCCCTCCTCCTTTTTCTTCACAGGTGTTTCCCCCAATAACTCGCTTACAACTTAATCCCATTTCAACATCTGCTTCTCAGAAGTCCAAACTGATACAAGGGTCCACGTCAAACTGAGATGTATTTTGATACCCCAGGCGCTACTTTTTTCTAGCTTTTGAAAATCTGAGTAATCATCAGAAATGGACCTTTCCCATTCTCTAAAAATTCATTACAATGTCTTTGGCAGAGCACCACTACATTAAATGTTGACCATCAATTAAAAACTTAGGAAAATTTTAAAAAGGTATGATTTACTGAGTATTTACAATATGTCAAGCATTTTCATCTGCATTATCTCATCATATTTTCATAAAACCTTTATGAAGCAGGTTTTATGATGTTCATTTTATATAGGAGAGAACTGAGATTTACAGCTTTGCCCAAACACACACAAAACTGGGAAGTGAACCAAATATGTCTCTACCAAAGAGCCTGTGCTCTAACTCACTGTGTCTTATCACAGAGGTCATTATATAAAGTGTTTATGATTATAATTTGCCATATAGAATAACAGTATTTCTCTGTGTAATACTATTTGAAATACTAAAAATTATACTCCAGCTGTAACTTTGGATGTATCTCTTAATCTTCTTCAGAACCTCTTTATCTATAAAATGAAGCAAGTGAACTAAACTGACAGATGCGTGGGGGATGGACTGCCAAAAGAATGAACAAATCTGTCTTGGAAGAAGTACAAACAGAATGCTCCTTAGAAGCAAGGATAACTTTAATACTAAAGTCCTTTCAACTCTGAAATTCTACTTTTAAAATGGATCAAGGAAAATCTACCTTTACAAATACTTTCAAAATCAATTGTTCTTAAAAGAATTGTTAGAGAAAGGATTAAGCTTAAATAATAAAAAACAGGTTTGACATGGATTTGAGAACTTCAGGGAGTTATGATAAGTGGAACTTAACACTTTGAAGTTTTCAAATTATGTTGTTGTTGCTGTTGTTAGGTGCTGTCCAGTGGGATTTGACTCACAGTGACCCTATGAATAACAGAACGAAACACTGCCGAGTCCTGCACCATCCTCACAATCGTTATGCTTGAGCCCACTGTTGCAGCCACTGTATCAGTCCATCCTGTAGACGGTCTTCCTCTTTTTCACTGACCCTCTACTTTAACAAGCATGATGTCCTTCTCCAGGAACTGATCCCTCCTGATTACATGTCCAAAGTATGTGAAACGTACCCTCACCATCCTTGCTTCTAAGGAGCATTATGTATATACTTCTTCCAAGACACATTTGTTCGTTCCTTTGGCAGTCCATCCCCACGAGTCTGTCAGTTTGTCCTACTATGGGGGCTTGCACACTGCTGTGATGCTCGAAGCTATGCCACCGATATTCAAATACCAGCAGGGTCACTCATGGCAGACTGGTTTCAGCTGAGCTTCCAGACAAAGACAGACTAGGAAGAAGGACCCAGTGGTCTCCTAACGAAAAGACTTAGCTAGTGAAAACCTTACGAATAGCAGTGGAACATTGTCTGATATAATGCCAGAAGATGAGCCCCTCAGGTTGGAAGGCACTCAAAAGACAACTGGGGAAGAGCTGCCTCCTCAAAGTGGTGTCGACATTAATGACGTGGATAGAGTCAATCTTTTGGAAACTTCATTTGCTGATGTGGCACAACTCAAAATGAGAAGAAACAGCTGCAAACATCCGTTAATAATCAGAATGTGGAATGTATGAAGTATGAATCTAGGAAAATTGGAAATCGTCGAAAACGAAATGGAATGCATAAAGATCAAAATCCTAGGCATTAGTGAGCTGAAATGAATGGGTATTGGCCATTTTGAATCAGACAATCATATGGTATACTATGCTGGGAATGACACTTGAAGAGGAATGGCATTGCACTCATTGTCAAAAAGAACATTTCAAGATCTATCCTCAAGTACAGCGCTGTCAGTGATAGGATAATGTCCACACCTGCAAGGAAAACAAGTTAATTCAACTGTTATTCAAATTTACACATCAACCACCGAGGCCAAAGATGAAGAAATTGAAGATTTTTACCAACTTCTACAGTCTGAAATTGATCGAACACGCAACCAGGATGCGCTGACAATTACTGGTGATTGGAATGCAAAAGTTGGAAACAAGAAGGATTGGTAGTTGGAAAATACGGCCTTGGCGACAGAAATGATG